ATTGTATGATACATAGATTTTTATCAATTTGATGTGGTTGAGCCAATCTTTTATAAAATTATCATTTTCTCTAATTATTCCCTCTCATTCTTTTCTCTGATATTCAAATTTTCACAATCTCTGCCAAATGGACTCCTGTGTCCTTTCTGACATACCTCCAAAACTAGAAAGCTTCCTTGATTTCTGGCATAAGGTATCCCAGGCTCACTTTGTACTATTTTGCTCCTGACCTAGAATTTGTTGATTCTCCAAGAATTCATGGAATTAGAAATGAATAGAATGAAATTAGAAATGAATATCTGGTCACTGTAGTGCTCATGATTATTGGGGTAACATTGTTTCTAGGTTATTTAAAAGAAGAGAATACAGATCGATGACAGATACACAGATAGACTAAAAATCACCAATTCATCTTACTACTTCAGATTTATTTTAGAGTTAGTGGTTTATCTTCTAATTTGAGTTTATATTTGCATTTCATTTCTCTTACATGGAAAATCCAACAATATAAACACAATTACTTTCATGCATTGTTGGTGGGAATGCAGACTGGTGCAGCCACTTTGGAAAACAGTATGGTTACCAGAGGGGACAGGGGTGGGGAGGTGGGTGAAATAGGTGATGGGGATTAAGGAGCACACTTGCTGTGATGCACCCCAGCTGATGTATGGAATTGTTGGATCACTATATTGTACACCTGAAACCAATCTAACTGTTAACTAACTGGGATTAAAATAAAAACTTTTTTTAAAAAACTCACAATTACTTGCTATATTCTATCATACTAAAAAAAGTAATTTCAAAGTAACAATACCACTATTAAAAATAACAGTAAAACCACTGAATGAAGTTAAAGATCTGTATAGATGACCAGGGTTGTATCAAAAGGACTCAGAAGCCAACCTGAAGAGGCTTCCACTGGAACAAAAAATAAAAAATAAAAAAGGACATTTGATTATCAACAAGGAAAAAAACTGCTGCACTGGATTGAAATACAACAGACCTGTTTAAATCCACAAACGTATGATAACACTTTGTAGAATTTTAGGCAATCAGCTCATTATTTTAAAAACTGTTAAGTAAAGGAAAAGAATCAAGTTTTTATCCTGTCTTTCCTATATAACCAAATGGTTGGCAAGGGGAAATTTCTCTCTATAACAATACTCCAGCTAATAAATACAGAAGGAATGATAACACTAGAATATCATCATTTCATAACTCCTTATGAATTAATAGAATTAGTAATCATCAATAGCTGCTCATATCACAAAAAGTAGAGATATCCAGACAGTATGGTTCCTGATGGAAGCATAGTTATTCCTTATGAAGCTTTGCCCCCCACAATGGAATCTGAATTTGATCAAGCCTCTAGATCTAATTACTAATTTATAGGAAATACAGAGTTGAAAGAAAATGTTAAACAGTATTGATGTGAAAAGCCAGACCATAGGAAGCTCTACAGAAAAAAACAATCTGGTTTCTTCAACAAATAATTGCAAATGGGGAGGTGAGGCACGTGGAGGAAGGGGGCTGACAGACTGAAAAAGATGTGAGACATAGCCACCAGTCACGGAGTGTGAACTCTGTATGATTTGAACCAACTGTAATATTCTTTTGTAAACTTTTTTTGTCCTTAGAATGCATCCCCCTAACCAAGTACAAAGAACTGAATAAATTCATTCTCTTTGTGGTTGTTAATGATTTGATAAATATTTCGAGTTGTTCATTATGTTCCCAATTTCAGGGACTGCACTTTTTAGATTTAAATTTTTAATAGGTATTGCATATGCATGAAGCAAAAGGCAAAACTGTACAGAAAATTATACAAAGAGAAGTCTTATTTCCATTCTTGCCCTTCAAACTCCATTCCCCTTCCATCTATGGGCCACTATTTTGTTTATTTATGCATCAGATACTTTTTTTTAAAGATTTTATTTATTTGAGAGAGAGAATGAGAGAGAGAACATGAGAGGGGGGGAGGATCAGAGGGAGAAGCAGACTCCCCGCCGAGCAGGGAGCCCGATGCAGGACTCGATCCCAGGACTCCAGGATCATGACCTGAGCTGAAGGCAGTCGCTTAACCAACTGAGCCACCCAGGCACCCCTGCATCAGATACTTTTTACAAATACAAGGATTTAAATGTATATGTATGCATGTACATATACAAATAGAAGGGTTTATACAAATATAAGGAATTTTTACCAATATAAGGATTTAAATGCATATGTATGCATGTACATATATAAAAATGGATGTACATAATTTTACTTAAAATTTTATTAGAAATATAATAAAACAGAAAATGCATAAAACAGTTTAACAGATTGTTATAAAATCATTCATATAACTCCCACCCAAAATAAGAAAGAGAACAAGATCCTCACTCCAGAAGCCCCTGACGCCTTGTCTCTCCCGAGTGGTAACCCCTCCTTCTCTCCTGTTATTCTAGATGTACTCATTATTCTAACTTTTATAATATTTTTCTCCTTGTCTTTCTTAATGGTTTTTCCAACTTATAACAGTACATGTGCATTTTGCCTGATTTTCAACTTCATGTAAATGAAAACATACACTATGAATTCTGTTTTGTCTGGCTTCTTAGGCTCAATAAAGTATTTAAGATTCGTCCATATTGTTCGTGTAATTGCAATTGATCCATTTCCACTGTTATATGATGTTTCATTGTATGATTATATCATACTATATTTTTACTTTCCACTGTCGATGGGCTATTACGAAAAATTGCTGTATTCTTGTGCCTGTAACTTTGCAGCCTACATGGACAGATATTTCTGTATGGTGTCCCCTGGTGGTGGCTTTGCTGATCAGAGAGTAGATGTATCTTTTGACTTAGGGGAGTCTGCCAATTTTTCAAAAGTAGTTTTACCTGTTTACTCTCTCACAAGCAGCTCTTGTTGTTCCACATTCTTGCCAGCATTTGATATTATCATCTTTAAAGATTTTATCATTTTTAAGTATTTGGCAAAATTTGTGGGTCTGTAGTAGTGACTTATGTGGTTTTAATTTGAATTTCTCTGGATTACTTATGAAAGAACATTAAAAAAAAAGTTTGGGATGTTTGGATACCTGATTGACCTGGCACATTAAGTGAGAAGTCCATCCGTTCCCCATAGCTTTGCAGTGCATCTTCCTCATAAATCAGGTGTCAGTTTATCGGTTTGTTCTGGGGCTATTTTGTTTGGTGAGTCTGTCTGTCTAAACCAGCACCAATAGCACCCAGTCTTCATTACTATAGTTCTGTATTAATTCTGCATTTCTGGTGGACAAGACCTACACTTTTGTTCTTCTTTAAAATTAGGGCCTGGGCAGGGGCGCCTGGGTGGCTCAGTTGGTTAAGCAACTGCCTTCAGCTCAGGTCATGATCCTGGAGTCCTGGGATCGAGTCCTGCATCGAGCTCCCTGCTCATTGGGGAGTCTGCTTCTCCCTCTGACCCTCCCCCTCCACATGCTCTCTCTCTCTCTCTCTCTCATTCTCTCTTTCTCAAATAAATAAATAAAGTCTTTAAAAAATAAAATAAAAGGGCCTGGGCAAATTTTTTTTTTTTGGCCTTTTGGGCTTCCATAGAAATCTTTTAACTAATTTATGAAATTGAAAAAAAAATTTCCTGTTGGGGGCACCTGGGTGGCTCAGATGGTTAAGCGTCTGCCTTCGGCTCAGGTCATGATCCCAGGGTCCTGGGATCGAGTCCCGCATTGGGCTCCCTGCTCCTTGGGAGCCTGCTTCTCCCTCTGCTTCTCTCTCTCTCTCTCTCTCTGTCTTTCATGAATAAATAAATAAAATCTTTAAAAAAAATTTCCTGTTGGATTATTTTGTGACTAGATTGAATAATTGTGATTATATTGTGATTGTATTGAATAATTGTGATTATACTGAATTTGTAGTTGATTTGGTTTCAACTGAGATATAATGAACATCTTTCCATTAATACTATTTTTGTCATTGATTTCTAATGGAATCGCATTGTAACCAGAGAATGTATTTCATATAATTTAAATCTTTGGAGATTTGGTGAGCCTTGCTTTTTGGCCCAGTATACAATCTGTTTTTGTAAATGTTCCACATGCGGATTCTGCAATCGATCGTTTTGTTGTTGTTTTTTTTTAAGATTTCATTTATTTATTTCACAGAGATAGTGAGAGCAGGAACACAAGCAGGGGAGTGGGAGAGGGAGAAGCAGGCTTCCTGCTGAGCAGGGAGCCCGATGTGGGGCTGGATCCCAGGACCTTGGGATTGTGACCTGAGTTGAAGGCAGACGCTTAACGACTGAGCCATTCAGGCGCCCCTGCAATCGACAGTTCTGTTGTCTAAGTAGGACTGGTTAGTTTTTTGGTTTTATTTTTTTTTAAGATTTATTTATTTATTTTGAGAGAGTGAGAATGAGAGAGAGAGAGTACATGAGAGGGGGGAGGACTAGAGGGAGAAGCAGGCTCCTCGCCGAGCAGGAAGCCTGATGCAGGACTCGATCCTGGGACTCCAGGATCATGACCTAAGGTGAGGGCAGTCACTTAACCAACTGAGCCACCCAGGCACCCTGGGTTTTTTTTTTTTTTTTTTAAGATTTTACTTATTTAGGGGCGCTTAAGGTGGCTCAGTTGGTTAAGTGTCTGCCTTCCGCTCAGGTCATGATCTCAGGGTCCTGGGATTGAGCCCTGCATCAAGCTCCCTGCTCAGCAGCGAATCTGCTTCTCCCTCTCCCTCTGACCCTCCTCCCTGCTTGTGCTCTCTCTCTCTCTCTTTTTTTTTAAGACTTTATTTATTTGAGAGAGAGAGAAACAGCTTGAGAGGGGAGAAGGTCAGAGGGAGAAGCAGTCTCCCTGCTGAGCTGGGAGCCTAACGTGGGACTCAATCCCAGGACTCCGGGACCATGACCCGAGCCGAAGGCATTTGCCCAACCAACCGAACCACCCAGGCGCCCTCTCTCTCTCTTAAGAGAGAGGGTGCACACACACCAGTGCAAGTGAACAGTGGTCATGGGCCACTCCTTCCTTTATGAAACCCTCTTTTCTCTCGGCTTCCATAATATCCCATCCTTCAATTCAGACATGAGTGACTTGAAAAATAAGATCCACACAGAATCCATTTTGCTGGTAAGGGTGGTATCAGAGGTACGTGGCTTTCAAGAGTAGCGGTGGTTGCAAGGTCAGGCTCCTGACACAAAAATGGCATCCTTGGTGTAAACAAGCAGTAGGGAATTTCTCCTACTGCTCAGTCAGGCAGCAGCAGGGATGGTGGATGCCTCAGCAGTTATGTTCAGAGCGTGGTGTAGGGTATAATTCCTAGAAGCTTAGCATTCAAGCTTTTCAAGTCTCCCAGCAGTATTTGGGGTACGCAGAATCCTCCTGTTAATATCTATTATTCTTCACTCAGCCGAATTATGTTCTGTTTCTGGAAAGTAAGAACTCTGATTAATCAGAGTAAATGATTATACTGGCCCTGGTAACTGGCAATTACAGTTTCATATGTTAAGTGTTCGTGAACTATGAGAGTATACAGGATAGGTATGTGGCCCAGCCTTTGGGGCCTAGGGAAGAATTCCACAAAGGGAAGATACTTGAGCTGAGTTCTAAAACAGGATTGTGAATTAGCCAGGCACAGAGCATTCTAGGACATTCTAGATAGAAGGGCATTCCAGGCTGGGAAACAGAGATGCCCAGGGATGATATAATCACATGGCAACATTTTTGAGATGGGGATGGGGTGAAGGGAGAGGTGAGAGAGCAGAATTAAGAAGATCCCTGAGGGGGTGCCTGGGTGGCTCAGTTGGTTGAGCGACTGCCTTTGGCTCAGGTCATGATCCTGGAGTCCCGGGATCGAGTCCCGCATCAGGCTCCCTGTTCAGCGGGGAGTCTGCTTCTCCCTCTGACCCTCCCCCCTCTCATGTTCTCTCTCTCTATCTCGTTCTCTCTCTCAAATAAATAAATAAATCTTTAAAAAAAAAAAGATCCCTGAGGATTTGTATACCATGCCCAAAGTGGTTTCTTGGTCTAGTAGCAGGGCTTGAGCCCTTGACTTGCAATGTATACCCTGGGGAAAGGTAGATGCTTGACACTTCCTGGCTATGGTTTTAGATGAGTACTTACTTATATTCAGCTCTTAGCCTTGCCTGAAAATTCAGGAAAGAGCTAGCTGAAAGTCACCATAGCCCGTGATAGAAACCCCTGACCCAGAAAGAAGCCAGCATGCTGGACCCCCACCTTGCAAACTTCTGAGCACAACTCCCCTCCCTTAGTCAACTCTGACCCAACTCAGCCAAACTCCATTCCCTTAGAGACCTTGTTCTCTCAAGTTCTTCCCTAGACAACCCTCCTTCCCTCCCCGTGTCTTCTATAGTTTAGTTAACAGAGCATTTTTTCTCCAAAGCTGTATCTTACTGCTCTATATGGATAGATGTTTTTGTGATTTGTCCCGCATAGCCGGCCACCTGGACCTGCATGTACACAGGTAGGCTAAGGAATATTGTTTGTGAGACTTATGCTGTGGTTTGAAATATATTATCTGGCCTTCAGGTCAGAACTGGCCCTTCTGTTCTGGATGCCAAGAGCTACAAATCTTGTCCCACATCCCCTCCTGCTCCAGGCTGGGTTGGACTCCCCAGATGGAATCCAGGAGGGGAGGCAGACACACATGGCCCAAGCTCCTTGAAAATATAGAAAAATGATAACATAGAAATGCAGCTTGCTCCAAACTGCGCATAGGCGAACAAATGTTTAATTTCAAACCCCGTTATTTGCCCTGTAAATATGGCCCTTTTGGGGATGGTCAGTTGGAAGTCTCACCTGACGGGAGGATGCTTCACCCAGGCCTCTCAGTCGGAACTCCAGCCTGGCTGTTTCCACAGGGTTTCCCCAGCTGATGAGGTTGGATGTTGTAAGTACCTGATTTGATGTAACTTTGCCTTATTCTCATTTATTGCCTACTCTTAACTTTCATCTATATGTAGATTCCTTTCTTCTTCTGTTTCTATTAGGTTTCTATGATAATAATGCAGTTTTCTTTCCTTTTTGGAACTGAAACACAGCTGTTGTGAATCTTTTGTTCAGAACGCTTAACTTTACTGGGAAAGAAAACATTTTATATCCCTTCGTGTTGGCCTTGCTGCTAGAAAACCTAAGGCTAAGTTGATTGCTCACATGGAGCAATTTCTAAGCAACAAGTTCAGTTACTGGTTTGTCTACCTCTGCCATTAGATACACAATTGTCTATCAGCTCCAAACTTAGCCTTCTATGCTCAACTTTGTGAGTCTGGGGCCGGGACTCTGCAAACATCTCTGCTCTACCTGCTGGTTGCCTCTTAGGACCTCCTAATAGAGGATGCCAAAGGGAGAGGGCAAGGCTCCAGGAAAGAGAATGGGCCTTGCTATTCCCGTTTGCTTCTTACGGGATTGCTGCTTGTGTCCTGTTCGGTGAGCATCAGCTACCCTCCTCATGCTGACAGTACCTGGTCCTTGCAGGAGCAGAAGCTGATCCAATTTGTGGTTTTTCCAACACTTTCAGAATGAGTTGAGCAGCGCCCTTCCGCAGAGGTCTGAGTGTTACCTCCATGGCCTCCTACGTTTCTAAGTTTTCATCATTCTGACAACTTCTCTCAGCTCCTTCAGTCCCAAGGGTGGTGGCTGCTTCCTGCAGTTGGAATCTACACAACACCGTAGTGTTACCATTCTGCTTTTCCAGTTACCTTTGCCCAACTCTGTGTACCCGGTTAATGATTCTTTATATTCAGTTCTCTGATCTGGTGGGATTTCTGTCTCCTTACCAGACCCTGACAGGAATACTTTCCTCTCTGCTTTCTGAGTTTTCCTTTTTGTAAATCAATCTTTCTTATTTTGTCTGATCAAATAATTTGTATTATATGCTTTGGAAATAGAATCAAAATAATATTTTCCTATATAATCTCTGGATTTCAGTGTTTCTTTTTTCCCCCCAGCCTCTCATGTAATTCCTACAGCCACAGCATTGGGGACCCTTCTCCCAGCTCGAGCCCCTTTTCTCCTCTTAGTGCTTGAGTGGTACATAGAAGGCAACAAAAATTCAGACTCAGGAAAAAAACACTCAGTCTTTAAGCAAGGACATCATCCCCCGCACATTCCCCACATCTGCTTAGGTGTGGGATTCAAGTCCAGTTTCTCTTTAGAAAGGAGACATACATGGCCCTCTCCCCAGTATGTTGTTTTGTTCTACAGATGTCAGTAGAAAAGGCTTTCTAGTGAGTGGGAAGAGGAAGTCATTATTCTTTGGGGGTTTGGACCATAGTGTTCTACAGTGGTCAAGCTCCTCTTTCCTGCAGACTTATTCCCACATTTCTTCTTTGCTGTTGTGTTTTCAGACTCTAAGTTTATTCTGCTACAAAGCGTGGCTCTCTTTCCTACTACAGCATCCTCTCCACATTTGACTTCATTCTGGGTGCCCGACTGGCTGCATCATCCACATGTTTGGAGCTGCTGCACTTTGGCAATATTTGAAGCATTGGCAGGGTGTTACCCTGTGAGTTTCTATGAAGAGAGGAAACAAGACTTTGGGGACTTTGTAGAGGAAGGAAAGAAAGAGCAAGAAGAGCTGAGAGGTATCCTGAGATGAGGTAAACTGGCTTACGCTTCAGAAAGGAAATGTGAGCAGAGGAAGTAGACATATGGGCAGACTCAGGTTGAGGGAACGGGGCATTTGGGCTATTTGTCAAGCAACCACTTGTCAAGCATGCATTAAAATCACAATCTGGGCAAACTACTGTCTTTAATGTGTGGAATACAAAGAAGGGCACAAGATGTGCCTGGTTTTGAGAAAGTGATCTGTACAAATAGAACATTGGATAATACCCACAGAAGGGGGTATGAGGCAGTGCCAAGTGGTCAAGAAGACAGGCGACTCCGGTAAGGCTTTAGGGTGGAGAAAGTAGTCAACAGTTTCAAATACTGCTGGGAAACTTGAGAAAGCTAAGGAGAAAGAGACCTCAGAGATGGCAATTAGCACTGGCAACCCTGTGGAAAACTGGAAGCAGGTTCATGGTTGGGGGGTGGTGAGATGGGCATTTTATTTCTATAAGATTGGAGTATCTCTAGGATAGGATACCAGATGTCCATCCCTGAAAGCCAGTAGCCAGAATCCAACCGTGCAAAGCCAAGGATAATGGCTAAGCTATCTTGGAGTGTGGTATTATGCTAGTAAGCCCATAGCTGACCCTGTGGTTCTATAACCTCCCTCATGATTTCTCTGCAAGCTCATTCTCATTCATGGACTGGGTGAAAGGGGAAAGGGAGGTGGCATTGGGTGGCAGGGGACCACCATGGTTCTTATTTCCCTTTTTGCTCCTATTGACCATTGCCTGATGCATGGCAGTCATCTGGATGGTCCCGAACACAGTGCTGGCTGGGGAACCATGCCTGCGGATTGCCACCCAAATTTCAAAAGTATAGTTCAAGTCTGTGTACAGTAGTGACTCGTCCATTAGCTGAACAAGCTTCTCTGACATGACTTTGCTGGCATCCCTTTGGGGTTTGCGTTATGACATCAACTTGACTCTTCCCTGGGCAGCATTTATAATTAGGTAGATTGATTCCTCTTCTTGGTCTGCTTTAGCTGAATGTGTCTGCCTAGGTCCCAGAGCTGTGTTGGGGAGAATATGGAGCCTACAACCTAGTCCCAGGAGTGAAAAGGAGCAATTGAGTGGTAGGATGTCTGGAATTTCTAAGGGAGGATGGTGGGGATTCCTAGGTCTTCCAACAGCCCCAAGAAGTAAGTGCAGAGGAGAACATAAGCTCCTTCCTAAAGGAGGAGCTTGAGGAGGAATAAAAGAGTAGGCAGCAGTTGCTTTGTGAGGCTGGGGAAGAGATACCTGGCTCTGTCCCAAGTGAAAGTCTCTTATTAGTATTTGCCTTAGATTTGATAAGATGTTGAATAAACATGATGTGGTAATAATCTGGAAGCAGATGCCTGACTGTAGGATGACTGCATTTATTAAAGCAGTGCCAGTAGCTCTTAGATTTTTTTTAATTTTTAAAAAGATTTTATTTATTTATTTATTTGCGAGAGAGAGAGAGAGAGAGAGAGAGAGAGAGAGAGAGAGAGCGCACAAGGGGGAGAGGGGCAGAGGGAGAGGGAGCAGGGAGCCTGTCGTGGGCCTTGATGCCAGACCATGGGATCATGACCTGAGCTGAAGGCAGACATTTAACTGACTGAGCCACCCAGGCACCCCAGTTCCTAGATTTTTAAGGAAGTCTGTCCAACATTATAGGTATAAGAAAGCAGGGCTGGAGTTTCTAGGTGCTTGATGAAGGTGAAGGAGGTGTGTAGGTGAACAGAATTGAGGGCCAAGTCCTCACATTTCAAGAAAAGAGATGGAATGGGAATGTATCTGGAGTTTGCTAATAGCCATTGGGGAACTGAATCTCTTTCATACACTTCCCCTGCCTCCCATCTTCATTTGGGCAGAAGCTAAAAATCTGCCAGGTGTCTTGTGTTGCTGCTATTGCTGTTATTATTGCTTCACATTTTTATGGGGCCTCATAATTTTTTTCTTTTTTAGAGAGAGAGAGAGAGAGCAGAGGGAAAGGGCAGAGGGAGAGGGAGAGAGAGAGAGAATCCCAAGCAGGCTCCATGCTCAGCACAGAGCCTGACGCTGGGCTTGATCTAATAACCCGGAGATCATGACCTGAGCCAAAATCAAGAGTCAGATGCTCAACTGACTGAGCCACCCAGGCGCCTCTGGGGCCTCATAATTTTAATTGCACTTGCATATTATATATTCACCTGGTCTCCACATGAGCACTGTTGGAGACAACAATATGGAAAATTATAATGGCATTGGTAACACCACTCACTGGCTTTATTGCTTTGGCCCGGGGCTCTTTGCTGTTCTGGATTAGAGAACAGGCAGAAATTAATGCAGACAGTTGAGGTGCCTGAGTGGGTCAGTCAGTTTAGCATCCACCTCTTGATTTCAGCTCAGGTATGGATCTCAGGGTGGTGAGTTCAAGCCCCATGTTTAAATGAATGAATGAATAAATGAATGAATGAATGAATGAATGCAGAAGGTCAAGAAGAATCTGTTTATCCTCAGCTTGATGGTCCCCCATCCTACCCAACAGCCAGGTTGCCACTGCATCTGGCAGAATGAGCTCTTTACCATTCCCAGGATTCATGCTGGACAGTGGAAGGCCTGGTTCTCAAGCTCCAGGCCAGGTTTCCAGTGGAGGTATCTCTCTTTGGTTGTAGACAACTTGAAAGAGCCCCCAAGCCCGTGTGCCTTATATAAGTCGTCCTCTGGGCCCTCCCTTGGCTTTGCTCCTGGGCCACCGGGTCCTTCTTTAGCCCCTGCCTCAAGTCCTTGGTCCTCTCCTACTTAAATATGTCACCAGCCCCAACGCAGTACTTAGGGGTATGCCTGTCTTTGCTCTCACTTAATTCTGTCTTTTCTTGGGATCTAGCCTCAATGGAGGAGGAAGGGAATTCCTCCCCAAAAGTGCACTTTTTATTTCCACAGTTAAAATGTGGTTGTATAGGAGTACCTGGGTAGCTTAGTCCGTTGAGCATCTGACACTTGATTTCAGCTCAGGTCATGATCTCAGGGTTGTGAGATTGAGCCCTGTGTTGGGCTCCGTGCTGGGCAAGCCCGCTTGAGATTCTCTCTTTCCCTCTCCTTCTGTCCCTCCGCCAATGCTCTCTCTTTCTCTTTCAAAAAAAAAAGATCATATAAATAACACATGATTTTTTATTTGAATTTGAATAATACATAGAAATATAAAGAGGAAAATAAAAGACACCTGAAATCTCATTGCCTTGAGAGATAACTAACAGTTTGGTGACCATCCTTTCAAGAACCTCTTTATGCATTCAGGCATACATGTGTATCGTTTTACACGAATGGGATCATATTACATATACTTCATGTGTGTGTGTGTGTGTGTGTGTGTGTGTGCGCGCATATGTTTTAAGTCATGAATTTCTTTCTCCCTATGTCTTCTTCCTAAATGAACACCCTATCCCCCTGTTTCTGTCCTACATATGATCAATATTATTATCTGCTGTGTACCCTTCTACATTCTTCATATCCAATTGCTATCATACAGATATATATGTATATTTATGTATCTATGCTTATATAATATGCATATACTTTATAAGTAAATAGGTTTTTTCCTTGGTTCTGAAATGTGATATACTTTAATCCATACTTTCTTTCATCACCTTGCTTTTCTTTTCTTTTTTAAGATTTATTTATTCATTTCAGAGAGAGAGAGCACACAAGCTAGAGGGGCAGAGGGAGAGAACCTCAAGCAGACTCCACACTGAGCACCAATCCCACAACCATGAGATCATGACCCAAGCCAAAACCAAGAGTTGGACTCTCAGCTGACTGCACCACCCAGGCTCCCGACCTTGCTTTTCTTAGTTAGTAATTCCTTATGTTCACACTTCCAAGTTACCCACTATAATTCTATTCCATATCAACATTTCATTTCATAACATGGTAGAATCCCCCAATTGATACACATATGTTTGGTTTCCAGTCTGGGCCACTGTGAACAATGCTGCAATAAATATCCTGTTCCTTTCAAATAAGTTCTTTTATTTCTCTAGGATAGCTATCTAAGAGCCAGAATTGCTGGTTCAAAAGTATATGCATTTTAAATAATAATAGAT